TACATCCCAATACTACCACACATTGTTAAAACAACAACTCCTCATCACCCCTTTTAGGTAATAGGATAGCCCAGGAACTGCACTCGACTGAAACAACAGGTAATGATACAGCAGAGTACAGATTTTAGTAGAGAAGAAAGCAGTTATTTAATAAATCTGAAATATATACTTAGTATATTTTAAATTCCTGCATATTTCATGTTGGCAAAAATTGTAACTTTGTTTTCTTGTTTTACCTTGAAATGTTGTTGATTACGTTCATAGTATTCTGAATATACAAAACATAAATTATGCAAGCTTAACATACATTTAATGTGCATGTATATTAAGACATGTAGCTTTACAATATAACATGGCTAATGGGTTTTGAAATTTTATATTTAAAAACAATGTAATTATTTATCGTCGACAGAATTTTCTAACTGTGATATAGATATGTCGTTGTCATAGACAAAACTCAATGTCTGTTTTATTGGCACCTATGTGTCTGCCTGCCCGTCTGCTAATGACAATATTCAATACAGTTTCAATCACTGACCACATGCAATTTGAACTTAACACCTATCAGGCTATACACCATAAACAAAACGCATTGATTTATGGCCCGAGTTCGGTGTCTGTCACATAATGTGGCTGGATGTTGTGAGATGATGATTAATGTTTTTGTTGAAAATAATAGAGATAAGCTGTAATGGGATGTTCTGATGAGATGTTCTGTGATATTGCGATATGATGTTAAAGGTCACATGCAACGTAAGACCATATTCAATACACAACTGCGATCACTTTTAAAAGGGGCCAACGAGTCAAACAATTCCTTTCAATTCTGATTTGCAAATATAAAGTAATATGTAGCAAAAACTTCAAAATGAGAATATGAATTGTATTATGCTTACTTGAAGCTCTACTACCAAAAATAGTTGCACTACAAAATCCAGACATAAACACATAAGTCAATTTTAATTAAATAAGGAAATTGATAATGTACGTTGTGGTATGGACATTGGCATTAATTGTTATGGTAGTGACAATAGCGGTAGTGACACTTTTAATAATAGCCAGTTTTATATGTTTACTTTAAAAGATAATTTAATGACTTTTGTCAGTCAGACATTTCTGAATGTTTGAAGAATATGTAATAGGCAAACGATTTACTTATGGATCTCCCTGTCATGTAAGAAACAGGTAAAGACTGTATGTTACAGCAGTGACGCTGTGACGGTATCAAATGTTACCACCATAACGGTCCTATCACAGCCGTGTTCTTCTATGCCAGACTCTTCAGGGGCATCAAGACAGAAGTACGGCAGAGACGGAACCGTTCACTTTGTCCAACAACAGTACAGAGTGACAGGGTTATGACTGCCAAATGTGAGGGTGAAATCTTTGACACTATAGGACATATAAGTTCTATATAAATGTTCTGCTTAGACTGTTATAGTTTGGCATGAAATGCATGTGGACCCGGTTTTTTGTAAATATCACTTCATCCAATGATCCAATCGATCTTAAACTGTGCAAGTGGATGTTTTGTAAGACAACCTAATCACATTGTAAATCACCGATTTTATGCATTTGTATTAAGGAATCTGTCTGTGTAACTGTCAACAAAATAAACAGCAGAACGCAGACCGCTTGCAGAGGGAGGGAGCCAATGACCTGTACCTGTAACAGCGGCAGTGTTGGGTCATAAAGGTAAATGCACGTGCAGTTCATGATAGTTACCTGTGCACTGCACAGTGATAGACCGTTTGGATCATTCACATTGACGACTTCTACCTGTCATCATGAAAGCTTATTCAGATGATGCTAAACGTTTAATTAGAAATGTGTTGAAGTTTTTTTAAAAGAGAGCAAACGTAGCAAACCGATTTATAAGGTGTCGGATTACATGAAACGTACAACTTTTGCTCTTGGCATGAAAAAGAACATCGTGCTAAAAATTGTGAAAAAGAAACCAACAACCAAGAAACAAAACCTTGTACAAAAAGGTAGGCATCCAAAGTTAGATTCTTTTGACATCAGGGTCATCAGAGATGTCATTCGCCGGCTATTTGCTAGAAATGAACACCTGTCCACAAGAAAGTTAAAACACATCCTTGCAGAGGATCACGACATTAATGTATCTAGGTTTATGCTAAGCAAACTACTGCTCAAATTGGATAAGAAGGTAGCAAACCAGAAACTTGTAATGTGTGAGAGATCTGATATTGTGAAAATAAGGTGTAACTATCTGAGAGAAATTAAGCAAGCAAGAGAGGATGGGTTAGAACCTATATATCTGGATGAGACCTGGGTCAATGCAAACCATACTGCTGCCAGACAGTGGCTACCCACTGATCCCAGTGATGGTAGGAAAATACCAACAGGCAAAGGTGAACGTTTAATCGGTCTTCATGCTGGTTCCCACCGTGGATTCCTACCTGGGTGTGATCTGGTATTTCGGTCAAAGAGCACAGATGGTAGGGACTATCATACAGAAATGAACTCAACGGTTTTCACACAGTATGTTGAGGAACAACTGTTGCCAGCTCTGCCTTACAAAAGTCTTGTTGTCATGGACAATGCTCCCTATCACAGTGTTCGAGATCCAAACAATAGGTGCCCAACTTCCAATACAAAGAAGTCAGATATGCAGCAATGGCTAACAAATAACAATATACAATTTTCAATTAAGGCCACTTAACCACAGTTGTACTCTTTGATTAAACCTAACAAACCTCCACCCACATATAACATTGACAACATGCTACGCCAACACGGCCATAAGGTCTTGAGATTACCACCGTAACACTGTGATCTCAACCCAATCGAACTTATCTGGGAGACCTTAAAAGTACAGTGGCCCGGAAAAATCAATCATTCGAGTTTAATGATGTCAAGCACATTGTCAACACTGCTAGATGTGACATTGCACGCTGGCATGCATGTGTTGAACATGTCAAGAAGGTGGAGAAAGAGTACTGGCTCAAAGATGGCTTGAAGGAGCAAACAGTTAATCCAGTTGTCATTCGTCTGGACACTGATGACTCCTCTGTGGAAGAATGGAGTGAACTTGATGAAGTTTAATTCTGTTATTATCTTTACAGATAATAATAGTATCCAGCCAGATATGCTCAAAGAAATATAACTGACTAATTCCAACGACTTATAGCGTAACATGAAACACTCATTTCACATAAAATTATCATGAAAATATAAATATTAACTATCTATATGCTTAAAGCTATTAGAAATGCATTGCTTAATTTGGAATGTGAACGACATCAAAACATAACACTTTTGTCTTCATTCTATCTTTTCTTCAATGAGTGTGCATGATTGTGTGTGCTTGTGTCCGAGGGAACGGGGCTTTAACAGTTGTTGAGTTCTAACCATAGGTGGTCCGATTAATGATTTAGTGTAAATATACTTTCTGTGTTCTTTAAATGCATTTCCACTTAGGTACTGCATAAACAAAATATGACATTAACATTACAAATTTAAAGATTTTAACCTACAGAATAATTCTCACTAATGGGTTTTGTGGACAATGTTGAACAACTTAGAGTAACAAACTCCGTATGATGGTTAACAGTTGGCACCCACCTTACCCTATTCACGACCTGTGACACCTCTTCATACCTGTCACGTGCATAGCTGACCTACTTTGATGAAAGTTGACCTTTATTACCAACACTGCCGCTGTTACAGGTCATTGGCTCCCTCCCTCTGCAAGCGGTCTGCGTTCTGCTGTTTATTTTGTTGACAGTTACATAGACAGATTCTTTAATACAAATGCATAAAATCGGTGATTTACAATGTGATTAGGTTGTCTTACAAAACATCCACTTGCACAGTTTAAGATCGATTGGATCATTGGATGAAGAGATATTTACAAAAAACCGGGTCCACATGCATTTCATGCCAAACTATATATGTAACTAGAAAACATATGTTAATTTTTGTTAATAAACCTGCCTTGATAAAATATGTAATTTATTACTAAGTGATTGTTTGTGTTCATTAGTGATTAATGGGTTAAACCATTACAGACTGAGGTAATCAGTATGTTAAAGTGTGTGCAGTCAACCAGAAATGCTGTTGTTATAAGCTGTGGAAGTTTTGGGAGGATACCGCACAGGTTTATTTATATTGTTTTAGTAAACAAATGTGAAACTTGTCTTGTTTTGTTAGTTACATTCCACACCGGTCTGGCTATTACTATAGTCTTTTTACATTTTCAATGTGGCCTGGAAAGGTAATATAATAAAACTACCATTTAACAAATTTGCCAATATCATTAATTTATTATGATATTGTTCTGTCTGTGGAAATTCTGTTATAGAAATATTGTTGTTGTATTTTTTCCTAACATTATAAAAATATTTCGGTGAATATTCATATTTTTTAACGGATGAGCACTAAGAGTTACCTCCCTTTACAAGTTGGCGGAAGAAACAAGTGAGTATAGGTCTCTAATTTTAGAATTGGAAATATATCTGTGATTTGACTCGTTGTATTATCGCAATTAACGGTGCAGTTTTCTGAGCACAGCTTCTATGGTGCTTATTGGCCCAGGCTGTCGGCTGCGGATCTCGCTTCACAGACCTCCGATCTGTATTTGGGTTAGTTGTCCTGTTTTCGGTCATGACACAACTGTAATCACTGTGCGAGTGTGCCATACTTTGCGCGCCCAATACATTTGTCTGTCCATCCAATGTGTTTGGGTTTTTCCTGTCCACAGGGGCGTACATAGCTCAAAAACTAGCTCCATGCACACATTCTAGCATGCCTATTTTAGATTCGCTTCTTTCTTCTTATAATTGATAATTCTATCAGTCCATAAATGTGATATTTAGGCAGACTTGTTACACTTATTTATTTTTTGACAAGTGTCAGTCCAGCAAGTACATGAGTAGTAATCAATTAGCTGTGAACATGATCAATTTTCATTTTGTAAACATAGCAATTTGTGTTAGCAAGTGAACTTGTGACTTTCTTTTGTTTTACAGAATCACCATGTCTCAAAATCAGCCACACTTTGCTGTGGTGGAGCAGGCAATTAACACAGTAAAACAGATTCAGCAGTATATCAATGTTGGCATGGAAACTACAATTGATGTTGCCATGGATGTTGTGGAGAATGATAAAGGTAGCCTTGATCATGTTTCCCAATGTATAATAATGAGATAGGTGAACATTGTTTTAGAAATGTGTATGTTTTTATTTTACTGTGAACCCAAAGTGTGACTGCAGCCTGTTATCTTTGCCATCCTCAGAGAACAAGAAACAAGTAGACGAGCTAAGTCGGTGATGCTGGACTATGTGTGCATGGAGCGAGACCTGGAGCAATTCCTGGCAGCTGTTGACCACACCAAGAACAAGGTCATTACACCAGCTATCACATAACACTGTGACCTAAACCATAGGCACTTGGTAAATGATGTCTGTTTGGTGATCCAACTTCTAAAGTTAGATGGGGGCATTGGGGTAGCCTAGTGGTTAAAGTGTTTGCTCGTCACTCCGAAGACCCCGGGTTCCATTCCCCAAATGGATACAATGTGTGAAGCCCATTTCTGGTGTCCCACTGTGATATTGTTGGAATATTGCTAAAAGTGTCGTAAAACTAAACTCACTCACACTCTAAATATAGATAACATAGTTAAAGGTCTCGTTGTTGACTTTCAAAGTAATCCTTGATCATCAAGTGTATTTTTCAATGATACCCTGGATCCAGCCATTGAAGTTAGCTACTAGTTTAAAGCTTGTGTTCAGATAAATCCTATTTAGTTAAGTACATTAAGCTAATGAACAAATCATATTATAACAAAATATTCCACTGAATCTTATGGTGAGAGCCTGTTTGAGTTAAGAGGCTCAAGAGCTTTTGAGACAAATTGTGAACCTATCTGTAACATGAGATCTACTTTGTGTGTAGGCACTGGAGAGTGGTGAGGTAGGCAGTCTGGAGCGGGACTTGGACTTGAAGCTGAATGAGCTTCAGGTTGGGAACAGAAAGTCCAACCTGAAGCAGCATGAGAAGTACACTGACCTCGAGCAGAAGATACAGGAGCTCCAAAACCCAGGTCACAGAACATCTCATCAGAACATCCCACAACATCTCATTACAACATTAGTTAACATCATATGGCAATATCACAGAACATCTCATCAAAACATCCCAGAACATCTCATTACAACATTAGTTATCATCATATCGCAATATCACAGAACATCTCATCAAAACATCCCAGAACATCTCATTACAACATTAGTTAACATCATATCGCAATATCACAGAACATCTCATCAAAACATCCCAGAACATCTCATTACAACATTAGTTAACATCATATCGCAATATCACAGAACATCTCATCAGAACATCCCATTACAGCTTATCTATATAGTTTCAACAAAAACATTAATCATCATCTCACAACATCCAGCCACATTGCATCATACATTTCAGAACACGTCACCACATTTCACGAAGCATCAAGGTGTATTGGTAGCCCATTTGTCTCACATGCTGTATGTTGCTGTACAGAGTTGTACACTAATTTTATGGAAGGATTTTTATTAAAGCTGTATTTAAATTTGCCAACGTTTTCTTACTGGTCACCAGAAAAAACAGTTTGACGAAAGTATTACCCATAGATAAGCCGACCCCTTCTACAGGCTGCTTTTTTGGGGCTTCAAAATTCGGCTTATCTATGGTAATATACTGCAGTCAAGACAGTTGCTGTCAATTTTAGTTCAAGTGGTTTGCTACTGCCTGTTGCAGATGTTGCTGGTGGGCCAGGGATACCGATCCCATCAACATCTGCTGAGGATGATGACATCTGTATGACGGAGGAGACAGTCAACACTATGTGTCCCTACACACAGCAGGAGATGAAGAACCCTGTGCAGAACAAGCTGTGTAAACATAACTATGAGAAGGAGGCCATCATGGAATACATCAGTCGCCGTGGCAAAAAGGCCAAGTAAGTTCTTGGGGCAATCCATCAGTCCCCAACAAAGAGGACATGTAGGTCATATGGGCAATACTTCAGTCCCCAACAAAGAGGACATGTAGGTCATATGGGCAACACTTCAGTCCCAACAAAGAGGACATGTAGGTCATATGGGCAATACTTCAGTCCCCAACAAAGAGGACATGTAGGTCATATGGGCAACACTTCAGTCCCAACAAAGAGGACATGTAGGTCATATGGGCAATACTTCAGTCCCCGACAAAGAGGACATGTAGGTCATATGGGCAGTACTTCAGTCCCCAACAAAGAGGACATGTAGCTCATATGGGCAATCCTTCAGTCCCCAACAATGAGGACATGTAGGTCATATGGGCAGTACTTCAGTCCCCAACAAAGAGGACATGTAGGTCATATTGGAAATACATCAGTCCCCAACAAAGAGGACATGTAGGTCATATTGGCAATACATCAGTCACCATGGCAACCAGGAAGAAGTTAACAGAATGCTCCAGTTGCCATGACAAGGACAAGTAAGCTGTTGAGGAATACATTGGTTATCTTGTTAAGAAGAACATGCAAATTGCTAGGGCAGTTTATCAGCGTCTGTGGCAAGTTGGTTGTTTGTCATTGGATTACATCAGTTTCTGGGGCATTGAGAAGTAAGTTCTTTGGGGAATACACTGGTATGGAGGCCAGATCGGTGAAGACGTTCAATAAGATCAACTAGTTCATAACACAGCAAGATGTCTATGGTCCAGGCAAGTTGGTTAAGGGAACTATCTTAGATCCTGAGGTTTGCTGCAGTAACAATAATAACAGGAAGTGTCAGTGCCCCACAAGCCAACTTGATGCTGATACTTCCCAAAGCATCAGTGTATTTAATTTGTATTCTGGATGTTCCAGGTGCCCTGTGTCAGGATGTGCCAACACCAAGGCTATAGAGCAGTCCGACCTTGAGGACCACAAGTCGTTGAGGCGATACATAGAGCGGGTCAACAGACAGGCAGGGAAGAGGGCAAAACACTAACTTGTGAACTGGTTTCCTGACAGAAGACTGTTTGTGAACCTTGTACAATGTGCATGTGTCCACAACCAACAAGGCTTTTGACCATACAATTTGGAACTATGCTCTGTATTGGTTGTCAGCCTTGTACACTGTGAATGACATTGTGTCCACAACAAACAAGACATTGACCGTACAAATCATAACTATACTGGATCTCAGATCATACTGTTGAATGTAACTTGGGGCATGAAGCACACACATGGTACGTTTCTCATGGAAGCTGACTCATGTTTCTTGTTATCATGGTTGTGTGTTGTACACAGAGATTGAACATATTCAGTTGTCCGTGTGTAAATACAGTGAGATGAATGAAGATATCACACTTTCAGGGTCCCCTTCAACATGAGATATGTTTGCCTGTGTACAAGTATGGACATCGAAGTCGTGCTTGTCTCTGTGGCCTTATGGCCATGTGTGTTTTAGTAGGTCCATCAACTGTGAGTGAAGAGCTGTCTGAAGAGAATTATATGGTGAACACCATGTTTCATGCTCAAACCTGTACAGTTCTCAAGGTTTAACAAATGCTTTGAAACTGTGATGTTCTACACAATAAAAGACAATCATTATTTTTATTTAAATATACTTTATATCTGCAAATTCCAAGAGACGAAGCAATGTAGATGTGACTAACCTTGTATTTTATAGTGTCTTCAAGGGTCTATGAGACACAGTATCTCATACATTCGTCCCTATTTTAAAAGACAAGAACGTAAGGGGCATTTCTTCACTTTCTAAGGGGTAGGTCGGTTTGGCTAGGTTAATTTTTAAATGAACAGTATTTTTCCAGAATGATTGAAACAGAACGCCCCATAGAATTCTGTTAATGAATGATGGTGCTCAGTATATGATTAGTTTGACACAGGTGGTGGAACCTAAACTGTTGTCTGCCTCTAGTGACTTTGATAATATAGTTTTTCATGTGCCATGTTTGCTTTAATTGTTCTGACATGTTTGTCATTAAATCATTCCAACAAGCCAGCGTGTATATGTTCAATAGGTTCTAAAGCTGGTCACCAAGCTATCCCTACGTTGTCATAGAAGGATGTGTGTGAATTTGTTAAATACGCTGATAATTGTATTTTTTTCTGTACCGTTTGATGCAGCCCAAGTGAACATGATCCACAGTTGGTGATTGCCTCACAGCTAATCCCTCCTTTCCTTGACCTTCTGAAGGTCTGGGTTAGAATAGTGATCTCCAGTAACCCTTGCTTGTCCTAAGAGGCGACTAACGGGTGGTCAGGCTCACTGACTTGGTTGACACATGTCATCGGTTCCCAATTATGCGCAGATCGACGCTCATGCTGTTGATCACTGGATTGTCTGGCCCAGACACGACCGCCGCCATATAGCTGGAACATTACTGAGTGCTGCTTAAAACTAAACTCACTCACTCCTTGACCTTCTTTACATCTAGCTGCATCCCTGATATATACCACTGCAACCTTTCGGTGCATTTACAACAGACACAACACAACCTTACCTATCCGCCAACAAAACAGTCGGAGCACCTCAGAATTTCACCTTGACATGTTTTTCAAATGTGGCCACGACTATGAAGCCGGATCTGATGCTGAAGTTTGCACACCAGTTGATTTTGCTTTCTCCGTATTTCTCCTCATACGCTTTCATCCTAGCCATATTTTTCACCAGCTCCCGACCTGCTTAAGGCTAGCCTTTATTTCTTTTGTACGTGTGAATCCAGCAGGATGAATGTTATGGTATCCAGACATTATGGGGAGAAAATATTCGTTGTAGTTCCCGAGTTTCAAACCTACACTCGTTTAAAGCGAACCCAGGATGGAAATAAACCCAGGGGGTAAGAACGTCGGTCCCTAACAGTCTATGCTTTAAATGGGCAACTATAACAGATCTGGTGGTGTTTGTTGATATTATGTCGCAGTAACCTAGTTGTTTGGGGCGGTTAAGTAGCCTAGTGGTTAAAGCGTTCGCTGGTCACGCGGAAGGGTTCGATTCCCGACATGGGTGAATGTGTGAAGCCAATTCTTGGTGTCCCCCTCCATAATATTGCTAGAATATTGCTAAAAGCAGCGTAAAACCATACTCACACACTTACAAAACGAAATCGTCCCATTTTGTATTCTACCATTAACTTCTGTCTGTTCCTAATTCGGGACGGGTGGGATAGCCTATTGGTCAAAGCGTTTGCTCGTCACCCCGAAGACTCAGGTTCAATTCACCACGTGGGTACAAAGTGTCAAGCCCATTTCCGGTGTCCCCCGCCGTGATATTGCAGGAATATTGCTAAAAGCGGCGTAAAACTTCACTCACTTACTGATTATTCTACAGGTAAGCTATGTCTTTAAACTGAAGCACAGTATGTGTCGTTCACGAACACTGTTCAGATATTCACAAAATATCATAAGGATCGTGAATCAATTGAGACTTGAAGTAGTATGTCAAAGCTGGTTGTTTGAATTAATACAATAAACTTCCACGTACCTTGTAATTAAAAGACCGCCTCCGTGGTGTAGTGGTCAGAGCGTCCGCCCGGAGAACGGAAGTTCGCTGGTTCGATCCCCGACCACGTCATACCAACAGACGTTAAAACATGGTACTTGTTGGTCCCTGTCTGGCGCTCGGCATTAATGGGTACAACAAGGACTGGTCGGCTCGGAGTCAGTATAATGTGTCTGAGTGGGGTATTCATGCTTCACTGCTGCATGGTATCTCAGTGGGCTAGCACTATAAAACCAGCTTCAGTCTGGGCTAGTACAAGCAGCCACGTATACACATACACGTACACACGCATGCACGTCGTCATATGAGCGGAATATTCTCCAGCGCGACGTTAAACCCGATTTCACCTCACCTTGTCATTAAAAGGAGCAAGAAGAAGAAGAGCTTTATTCAGTATTTATGGCCACATGACCAAAAGTACAATTCAATAAGCAAAATATAGCACATGGTCAGGAAGAACAATTTACAATTTATACAGGTAAATATAGTTTAAGATAAATTGCAATATTTTTTTAGGAGTTTTACATTCTTTGTTGCAAGCAGCTGGGTAAACTTTGATCTGGTTGGAGATATAATATAAAAATCAGGAATGTACAAAGAGCGTTGTTGTGAATAAAATGGACATACGAGTAAGAAATGATACTCATCTTGTATCAAATTACAATTACATTTATCACATTTAATGGAATCAGCATTTACCTTATTAAAACGGTTGTGTTGAATTTTAAGTTTATGACTCATGCATCTGAATTTAAATAAAACTCGTAAGAGATCTTTATCATAGCAAAACTCTGATATATATTTTTCCGGTTCAAGTACAGATTTATATGACGAGTAATGATTTAAGAATGATGAAGAAGTGATTTTTGCATACCAATTCTGTATATCTATATCTTTACATCTCTGTTTAAAACACTTATAAAACTTGTTACATCGCCACAATCTTGCGATAACCACACAAAGAAAACCCAGAGTGAAATAAAAGTAAACGTACATGGGATACCCAATTGCGACCACCATTGTCGTCGTATGTTTTTTAACATTTCATAGCATGCCTTTGGAATACGATAACTTTCCATATTCAGGAGTCTACACCAGTACTTTATACAACGGGTGAAATACTGTACACAAAGATGGCTTCTACCTGTTTCACCGAGTACAATATTTGAAGATACAGTTTTGCTAACACGAAGATATCTTTTGAAATAATAACTTTGTATTTTTTCAATGTTTGCACGATAGGTAAACCCCCATATTTCTGCACCATAAAGCAGAATCGGTGCAATTTTGCTATCAAATATAGTAGATGCCACATTCAAAGAGATATTTTGATAAGTTCTGAAAAGAGAAAATATCGGAAATGAAGCCTTCCTAGCTTGTAAAGCTAATGTTTCACATGCTTTAGACCAGTACAATTTTGATGTGAAAACAATGCCAAGATATTTATAATGAGATAAAACCTTCATGTTTGTACCATCATAAAGCCATTTTTCGTTATTTCGAAGATAGCCACCATTCCTGAAAACAATAATGCAGGATTTATCTAAGTTAACTTCTAGACCCCATTTGATACAAAATGATTTTAATGTATCCAGCTTTTTTTTGTAAACCTATTACTGTGTCATCAATGAGAGTGACGTCATCTGCGAATAACAATAAAAGTATATCATTCATACCATTTTTCACAAATATTCCACGTAGGCCACATGCATTCATTTCATCTACTAATTCGTTGATAAAGAAAATGAACAGAACAGGACTGAGAATACATCCTTGTCGTAGTCCAGATGTTGTCGAGAATACTTCTGTTCGTACACTAGATATTTTCACACAAGCAGATACCTTATCATACATGTTTTTGAGGATTCGTATTATTTTCCCATGCATACCTTTGGAGATAAGAGCATATAAAAGCTTGTTTCTGTCTATATAATCAAAGGCCTTCCGAAAGTCAATGAAAGCTGCGTAAAACCGATGTTTACGTTTTCTTAAATACTTTTGGCATAGAGCTTGCAGAACGAACATATTATCAGCTGATGAGTAATCGGGCCTAAACCCTGCTTGACATTCATGTAATATATCGTTTAAATCTAACCAGATACGGATTCTGACTTCGAGGATAGAAGTGAATATTTTCCCCATTACATTCAACAAAGAGATTCCACGATAGTTATTTGGTTCGTGAGTGCTTCCTTTTTTATAGAGTGGAATGATCAAGCCAACATTCCAGATATCAGGAAAAATGCCGCTGTCCAGTATAGCATTAAACAATATTTCTAGGTAGGGAAGTATGCATTGAGCATGTTTGAAGAATTCGGGTGGTGTTCCATCAATACCTGGGGATTTACCAGATTTTAACACTTTGATTGCATTTTCTATTTCTGTTCTGGTAATTGGTGCAGATAAAAGTCAGTATTGTTACAGTCCGCACAGTAATCATGCTGTGTCAAAAATGCGTCAACATTCTCATTGAACTCAACATTTGTTTCCCGACACGTCGGGTTTAACAAGTTCTTAAAATATGTCACCCACTTATCTGCCGTAATTGTGTTATTTTCATTACAATTGCTCAGTAGAGATTTTATCTTATGCCAGAACTTCTTACAGTCACCACTTTTAGCTGCACTCTGAATCTCATCAGCAATACCACCGTTAAACATTCTACTTTTATTTCTGCACAAGAGGCGAAAGTGTCTCTTTGCTTCAATGTATCTGTTTAGATTTTCATTTGATCTGCATTTGCGGAACATATTAAGCCAGTAGAACTTATATTTTTTGAACTTTCGCATTCTTCATCAAACCAATTAGGTTGAATATTCTTTGA